GAGACATAACGCCTCTTCTAAGTTCTTTCTTACCTAGTATTATATAAGCTTTAATTCTTTGTATAATTGTCTTTGTCTTATTATCTCTACTACTCTTACTACTCTCTAGCTCCTTACTATAGCTCTTAGTTAGAGTATAAAAGTACTAGCTTCTACTTATAAGCAGGTAGTACTAGCTTTACTTAAGTCTAGTACACTTACTATCTGTTACTATAGGCTTGCCTATAGTCTACTAGTACTCTAGAAGGTATCTAAAGGTACTAATTTCGAATCTATTGTTTGTTTTTAAGTTTTTAGAGTAGTAAAGAGTGTAGACGACCGTTACAATAGTTTTTTAATTAAAGTATATAGTAACTTACTAGCTGCTTAACTATAATTCTCTACTATACTACTTATAGTACTATCTAATCTCTAATAGTTAATTAATAATTAAACTATTATTAATTTAGGAAAATTAATAACTAAAGGAAAGGAAAAAATCTTTAGATTGCCCTTACTACCTTAAAAACTTAAAAGTAAACGATAGAATCAAAATCAGTACCTTTAGATACCCTCTAGAGTACTAGCAGACTATAGATGAGCCTATAGTAACGGATAGTAGGTGTGCTAGACTTAAACAGAGCTAGTACTACTTACTTACAAGTAGGAGCTAGTACTCTTATACCTTAACTAAGAGCTATAGCAAGGAGCTAAAGAGTAGTAAGGGTAATAAGGACGATAAGATAGAGAAAATTATATAAAGAATCAAAGCTTATGTAATACTAGGTAAGGAAGAAGAGGCGTCGCGTCTCTTACGCGACCTTATTACTATAACGATAATAGTAGTAAAGATAAGAGCCGTAAATATAACGACTTCTTTATATACCTTTAAGTCTCTTTTTAACAATAACCTAGTAACGATTAGACAATTAAGAACGATATTAAAAGAGGCCTTTTAGAGGCTAGTAGTAGTAGTAGCTCCTTAGGCTACTTACGCGTTAGTAGTAGACTAACGTCTAATAAGAGTATAGGTTATACTAGAGAGGCGGGTTAAGGAGCTAAGGATTAGAGTAGACAGACAGACAGAAGACCTAGTACGCTATAGCGCTATTAAAGTAGTAATAGTAGCTAATATAGTAATTAAGAGCGCTAAGGTAGTAGTGACCTACTAGCTACCTAGTAGTAACACTATCTTTACGTTTAAGGAGGCTATACTAAAGAACGTAATCTAAGATTAGGGTTAGGTATAAAGGGCGTTTAGGCCTATAGCCTAGCTTTATAAGAGTAAGTTTATAGTAATTATAAAGGGCCTACTAGTAGAACAGATTATATAGGTAGAGCTAAGAGCGTTACTAGTAGAGATCTAAGCCTATATACTATATATTATAAAGGCTAAAGTTAAACTTATTAAGGCCCTTATAGTAAAGTTTATAATAGTAGTACTATACCTTTAGAGCGCTAACATAATAACGTACCTATATAAACAAGGGTTAATCTAGTAAGCCTAGATCTTTAACTATAAGCTATATTCGGCTAACCTACAAATCTAAAGGTACTTTTAGTACTACTAGTTTAGCTATATTAGGCGGTTCTATAAGAACTAGGCCTAGTATAGCTACTATATAAGAGTAGCGTACCCTTAAGGTAAAGAGGAGTACCCCTAACTTAATAGTAAAAAGAGATGTGTTAACTATAGTAGACTATATATAGTATAAGACTATTAGTATCCTAAGGCCCTTAAGGTAAAGGAGTAGGTATATACTATATACTAATAAAGGCCTAGATAGTTTAAGGTATCTAAGAGTAGCTTTACTAGCTAGGTACTTAGCGTTATACTAGCGTCTTTATAAGATAGCGATAATAGCTACTAGATTATAGTATATAAGAGACTATAGATAAGTAATAGTAAGAAGCCTATAGTAAAGACTCTAGTAAGGTAAGGGCGCCCTCTTATTAAGGTACTAGACACTATAATAGTCTAGAGCTACAACATTATAGAGATGTTAAGCTAAGGGGCTAACTAAGGGTCTAGCGACTCCTTTATAACATAAGAATCATAGATCCTAGACTCTTAGTAATAAAATTAATAATAGTATACTAGAATACTATAAGAAGGAATAGCCTTACTTTAATAGTACTTTACGATAGCCGTAAAGTTAACGTTATAGTAATTTAAGAGCTATAGTATAATACTTAGACAAAGATAGTCTATTACCTAGTATAAGTAAAGTACTAGTAGGTCTATAAAGGTAAAGGTAGAGTAGCTATCTATATTTACAAGTAGTACCTACCTCTTACTTAAGTAGTAGAGACAGGTATCGACTAGTATTACGTTACTCTATAAAGAGTTACTATCTAGTTAATATACTTACTAATTCCTAACTCCTTAGGCTAGGCTAGCCCTCTCTAGCGGCTTACTAGAGAGGACTTAAAGAGGCTATAGATTGTTATAAGTAACATAAACCTTTATTACTTACTCTAGGACAGAGCTAGTAAGACTACCCTTAAATTAGAGACCCTTTTCTATCTAGCCTATAAGTAGTAGCTGTTAGGTGCGCTAACACGTGAAATTATAATGGCTTAGAAATCAAGTACAAGGTAACTACGTACTACGACCAAGGTAATAGTAGGCATTAAGGAGCATAAGAATAGAGGGTAGAGAGGGAAAAGAAGGGGGGTTTAGAGATTAGTCTATAGTTAAAGTAGCGATATACCTTTAAATATACTACAACTGTCTATTAACTCTTACCTCTTTTACTCTATAAAAATATACCTAACATTCTAATCTCTTCTCTTTACTAAAAGGTTATAGACCGTTAGAGTAAGAAGTAATAACGTAAACACGATAAATAAACCTTAACAAGACGTAGGCCTTTTCTTAAGTAACTCTTTAGAATACCTCTTTACAGGTAGATAGTAGTAAACTTAGTACGACTCTCTAAATGTTAATAGAACTTCTTTTCTTAAGTAAGACTAAGTTAAACAAGAGGATTACTTAAGTAAGGGTAGAGTAGCGCCTTAAGTAAAAGTAAGACTACTTTATAGCGCTTAAGAGAAGAGAGGCTCCCTTAATAAACCTATACGAATTTAATAACCCTTTTAAAGTAGAACGGCCCTTCTAGTAAACCTATGTTAAAGAAATAAGGAAGAGCTATTATAACACCCCTTTTATTCTACTAAAAAACAAGACATATACTAGTATTATAACCTTCTTATTTGACTAGAAAACAGAGTTTAATACCTATCTAGAGAGTTATCTAACAGATACTAAACGCGTTAGCGCTATAGTAGTAGTACTAAAGGATTACATTAAAGAGCGCTAGAAGTCTTTTATTTTCTTAGAAAAAGACAGATTAGTTCTTAATGTAACTTAGAGAGAAATAAAGGCGTAGCTCTTCTATAGTATTATAGATAAGGGTACCTACTCTCTTAAAGTAGTATTAAAACTCTAAATGTTAACTTAAAACTAAAATAAGACTTTTAGGAATTTCCTTTAATAGTATAACTCTTTAGTTATTAAACTAGGCTACGCCCTCTAAGAGATGTTCTGTATCTACCTTCTTATTAATTGTTTAAAGCCTAAGTTAAGGGCTTATATAGTAAGTAGTAAAGTCCTAGATACCTTTAAGGTAGTCGAGGTAGTAGCGTTAAGAAGGGAAACTCTTATTTAGATAGGGTAATAGAAAGGCTCTTATAGAGCCCTTTTAATACTATACTATACTAGAAGAGGCTCTTCTTATAATCTAAAGACCTTATCTACGCTAGTAAACACGTAAGGAGTATCTAGTAGCTAAACTTTAAACACGTAAAGAGACTCTCTTAGTGTCGCGAAAACCCTTTTAGTAAGTAAGGTATAAGGTAACTACTACTAATACTAGTAGCCTAGTTATTAGGTAAATTCGTACCTACTATACAAATGCTTTATATATAGTTAATCTAAGTATACTTACACTTAGTACTCTAATAAGGCTAGTACTTTAGGCGCTAATACTACGCCAGTAGCCTACTACGTCGCGCCTAAACAATAAGAAGAGGGGCGACCCTTAATAAGTATTTAGGTAGAGATGTGTATTAAGGGTAGCTAGGTAGCTATACTAGCCTTACTAGACTTAAGAGTAGAAGTCAACCTTATCTACCTACGACTATTAAGACAGAAGGTACTATAGTAACTTAATAATCATATTGTAGTGTCCTTACTATTCTAGAAAATAACGACAAGCTTTAGATTATATAATCTGTTTGTTAAGGCCTAAGATAACTACTTAATAGTAAGGTAACATTAAGGCAGGTTTGTTGTTACTAACATTAGGGACTTAGATGTTATACTTAGATTTCTATAGCTAGAGGCTATAGACCTAATCGTTTTATAAAAGACCTAGACGTTTATATATCTTACGTCGTCTTTAATAGTCTAGCTATATATAATAAAGAAAGAAATTAAGAAAGTAATAAAAGAAGCTTAATTTGTAATCGTAGCGACAGTATAACTAATTGTAGTTAACCCGGAATCCCTAAGTAAGGAGGAACTATAAGAGGAACTATAAGAAGATAGTAAGGCTATAACGACCTTACCTAGTAAGTACTAATAATTTACAGACGTCTTTTCTAAAGAAGGGGCTAGATTACTACTTATAATTAATAGCCTTACTTATATAATAGACCTTAAAGGAGACGCGGTACTACTATATAACTAAATCTACCTACTTGTAGAGGTTAAGCTAAGTGTCTTATACAAATATTTAGACGACGCTCTAGTAAAAGAATAGATCTGTCTAAGTAAGAGCCCTACTAGTACTCTAATACTATTTGTTCTAAAGAAAGAAAAGAAGCTACGACTCTACGTTAACTACTAGGCGTTAAATAGTGTAACTAAAAAGAACTAAGCCCTTATTCTATTAATTAGAGAGATCCTTAATTAGCTATTATAAGTACATGTCTATACTAAGCTTAACCTACGTAAAGTATACTATTAAGTTTGTATTAAGGCTAGTAATAAGTAGAAAACGACTTTTTAGTATTAATATAGCTACTTTAAATACTACGTTATGCCTTTTAGGCTAGTAAACGTACTAGCGACCTTCTAGTCCTTTATTAATAAATATTATTATTATTATTATTGTTCTTACTGCCTATGCCTACTGTATACAGAACCTCTATACTACATAAATCACGTAGTAAAACCGTACTAAAGCCGGGTAAAAACCTACGTACTATTACTTGTGTTTATACTATTACGGCGCCGCTAGGGCGCCAGGTCCTTATCGCTGTCCTACTAGAACTTAACCTTCTAGCCTAGTGATACTAAACATACTAACAGGACGCTAGTAAGGTACTAGTAAGGCGCCGGCTACTAGCTAGGGCTACTTCCTTTCTTATAACTCCTCTACTAGGTAGCGCTTAGCTAGACAGAACTATAGGAATCGGCCGGTAGACAGTAGCTAATAGATTAGTACACGAGCGCTCTTGCCTTTCTTTGTTGTCGCCGCGAAGTCGCGGAACGTCTATAGCGCCCTTAGGTAAAGCGCTTGCTATAAGGCCTGCCGCTATTAATCTAGCTACTAGTAGTTAAGGACTAGGTAAGCCGCTGTCTCTAGGGCCTTACTATAAAAGTACTAGGAGGTCGTTACCTCTAGTACTCTATACTTAAAAAGGAAAGCCTAGAGTCTAACTTTACTAGTATAAATCTATGTTAAAAGAGAGCTCTTGTACTTATAAAAGAGTAGGTACTTCTTAAGGACATCTACTAAGGGGGTAGGTAGCGCGGCTAGGGCGGCGCCCTAGTAGTATGCTAGCAAGCTATCGTGTTAAGACTATCGTGCCTTCTAGTTCCCTTATAAGGTCTTCTCTAAGAGAGAGTCCCTATACTAGTCTTTTGCCTACGCGGCTCGGCCTGTCTTGTACTTAAGTAACGTATAAGGTAGCGCTATAGTAGCGCTATAGTAGTGTCTCTAGCGTTATTAAAGATAGGCCGCTACCTTATTATAGATAGACTATATAAGTTCTCCCTTACTTGTATGTTTAAGACGTTATTTAAAGTCTACTACCTACTTGTTAAGGTAGAGGTCAAGTAAGGGCGTAGCTGTTTTAGACTTAAGGAACCGGACAGGCGTCGCTTAGTACGCCCTCGCGACGACGTAGAGGCACTATAACTACTTTATAACGAGGTCTTTTACGATCCCCTTAGCTTACTACCTAGAGGGACGGTACTAGACCCTTGTGTTATATACTATAGTACTCCGGATTACCTTCGTGTAGATCTCTCTTATACGTAGTAGGCTGTATCCTTACGTAGACGTAGCGAGCCTTGTAAGCGCGAACTACTAGGTAGTAAACTTTTGTTTAATAGCGTTAAGGTAGCCCTTCTATCTAAGCTTCTAGTCTAACTAAACTCTTAGAAAGCGCGCCTCTTAGACTAGGGGTATAACCCGGCCGTTAAGGTAGACAGGCGTTGTTAGTATAGCGTAAGTATAGGTAAGGTAAAGGAGCTTACTCTTTTCTAAGGCAAACTCTATCTCCCTTATACACGACTACTAGCTACATGTCTGCTACGCCCCTTTAAGGTACTAGCGTGTCTCTGTCGTATCTCTACTAAAAGCTAAGAGGTTAAGGTCGTTAGCGAACCTTACTGTAATAAGGCCTATATAACCCTATAGTAACGTGTACAAGCTAGTAGTGTAAAGGAAGAAGAGGATAAGAGAGAAGGGCGAACCTTATAGTACCCTTATAGTAACTTCCTAGGGCGGCGCCGCCTCCTTGTTAAAGAAGAGACTAGCCGTCTAATTAGTAAGGAAGCTGTGTACCTACTGTACAGCCTATATAAGGAACCCTAAGTACTAGAGAGTATAGAGAAGGCGTATATAGTTTACTATATTAAAGGCGCCTTTAATATCGAGTTAAAGGAAGGACGCTACGGCCTTATAGCTCTACGCTATATACGTAGCGTCGACTACTATTTTGACTATAAGGTCTGTTAAGCGCTACGGCTAGTTCTCTATCTACGTTTCTAGGAGGAGCCCTTACGACTTCGCGGCTTTAGTAAAGCGCCGGCTAATTACTAACTTAATTACTTTGCCTATTACGTTTAAGAGTAATATTAGCCTATAGGCCCTAGCGGTTTGTTACTACTTAAGGGTCTTTCCGGGCTTACGTAGTACTACTACCTTCGCTACTTTAAACTGTATAGAGAAGTGCCCTAGCTAGAGGCTTATAGTTACTATTACTATAAGGAGCTTAGCTAAGGGGCGCCTACATGCCTTAAGAAAGCCGGTAGGTAGTAGGTCAGGGCCTAGCGCCTTCTAGGTACCTGTCTTTTAGAGAACGTTAGTAATATCTGTCTTTATTATAGCGTCGTTAATAGTAAACCGTTAGTACTACTTGTCTTAGAGGTCTAGAACGACGTCGCTAAGATTAGTTGTTAATTCTAGAAAGAACTGTCGGCCTAATACTATTACTTTATTATAGTAGCTTGTAGCTAGTACCTCCCTGTTAGCGTCCTAAAGAGGCAGGAGTAAGGCTAGTTCTAGGGACATATAGCTATAGAGCCTGGCCTACCTCTTAAGACTCTATAGTTTCTGTTAGTCCTTTAAGGTAGCGGTAAGGGCGCTACGCTAGCTCCTAGTTTTTACGTCTTGTATTATATAGAGTTAATAGGTACTAGCCTACTAGAGGTCGCGCTAGTAGAGCTTAGTCAGGGCAGTAGCGTATTAACGGCGCGCTACCTGTACTTACTAGACGGCCTTAAGGACCTTACTGTTCTACTAAGGCTCGGTACGCCCTTAGTTAACCTTTCTCCTTAGGGTAGATATGTCTGTAATACGTACAAGCTAAGAGGTAAGTAAGTTAACTGCCTTGTCGACCTTATAAGGTATGTCTAGCGGCTCTAAGGAGAGGCAGAGCCTCCCGGCCTTAATCGTTACTAGTTCTCTGTCTATTAGGGTCTAGCTCTATCCTAGTGCCTCTACGGCTCTCTCTTAGTAATCCTCTACTTAGGTAATAACCTCGATTAGCTAGGCACAGTAGTTAGATCCCTTATACCTTAGGTCACCTTAATAGGTATACTAGAGCGTCGCCGTGACCTACGCGTAGTTAATCGTCGAGTCTCGTTCGTTATGTCGCTACTATATTAGCTCTCCCTAAGGTGTGCGTAGCAAGAGCTACTACCTATAGGCTAGACAGAGAAGGGTCTCTAATTTAGGGGTAGTCCTGCCGGCTCTATCCTAGAGTAGGTAATAAAGGTTTATGTTACTTATAACGATCTATAGCCTCTTTAGGTCTTCCCTAGTAAGCTACTAGAGAGGACTAGCCTAGCCTAGGGAGTTAGGAATCGGCGAGTATATTAACTAGACAGTAACTCCTTGTAGAGTAATATAACACTAGTCGACGCCTGTCTCTACTACTTAGGTAAGAGGTAGGTGCCGCTTATAGACGTAGATAGCTACTCTACCTTCGCCCTTATAGACCTGCTAGTACTTTGCCTGTACTAGGCAGTAGACTATCTTTGTCTAAGTGTTGTACTACAGCTCCTAAATTACTATAACGTCGACTTTACGGCTGTCGTAAAGTACTATTAAGGCAAGGCCGTTCTTTCTTATAGTGTTCTAGTATACTATTGTTAATTTTATTACTAAGAGTCTAGGATCTGTGATTTTTACGTTACAAAAGGGTCGCTAGACCCCTAGTTAGCCCCTTAGCTTAACATCTCTGTAATGTCGTGGCTCCGGACTATTATAGTGTCTAGTGCCCTAATAGGAGGGCGCCCTTACCTTGCCAGAGTCTTTACTATAGGCTTCTTACTATTGCCTGTCTATAGTCTCTTATGTACTATAATCTAGTAGCTATTGTTACTGTCTTATAAGGACGCTAGTGTAACGCTAGGTACCTGGCTAGTAAAGCTACTCTTAGACACCTTAAACTGTCTAGGCCTCTGTTAATATACGGCATATGCCTACTCCTTTGCCTTAAGGGCCTTAGGACACTAACGGTCTTACGCCGCGTGTAGTCTGCTATAGTTAACGTATCTCTTTCTACTGTTAAGTTAGAGGCACTCCTCTTTACCCTAGGGGTACGCCGCTCTTACGTAGTAGCTGTACCGGGCCTAGTTCTTATAGAACTACCTAATGTAGCCGAACTAGTAGTACTAGAAGTATCTTTAGATTCGTAGGTCGGCCGAATATAGCTTGTAGTTAAAGATCTAGGCTTACTAGATTAACCCTTGTTTGTATAGGCGCGTCACTACGTTAGTGCTCTAAAGGTATAGTACTGCCGTTATAAACTTTGCTATAAGGGCCCTAACAGGTTTAACTTTAACCTTTATAACATACGGCGCGTAGGCTTAGATCTTTACTAGTAACGCTCTTAGCTCTACCTGTATAATCTGTTCTACTAGCAGGCCTTTTGTAATTATAGTGAACTTACTCTTATAAAGCTAGGCCGTAGGCCTAAACGCCCTTTATACCTAGCCCTAATCTTAGATTACGTTCTTTAGTATAGCCTCCTTAAACGTAAGGATAGTATCGCCGCTAAGTAGCTAGCGGGTCGCTACTACCTTAGCGCCTCTTATCGTTATATTAGCTGCCGTCACTACCTTAATAGCGCTACGACGTACTAGGTCTTCTGTCTGTCTGTCTGCCCTAATCCTTAGCTCCTTAATCTACCTCTCTAGTATAACCTAGACTCTTGTTAGGCGCTAGCTCGCTACTAACGCGTAGGTAGCCCGGGAGGCCGCCGTCGTTACTAGCCTCTAGAAGGCCTCTTCTAACATCGTTCTTAGTTGTCTGATCGTTACTAGGTTATTATTAGAAGGGGACCCGGGGGTACGCGGGAGGGTTGTCGTGTTTGTAGCTCTTGTCTCTACTACTATCGTTGTTATAGCGATAAGGTCGCGTAAGAGACGCGACGCCTCCTTCTCCTTACCTAGTATTACGTAGGCTTTGATCCTTTATATGATTTTCTCTGTCTTATTGTCCTTATTACCCTTACTACTCTCTAGCTCCTCGCTATAGCTCTTAGTTAGGGTAAGGGAGTACTAGCTCTTACCTGTAAGTAGGTAGTGTTAGCTTTGTTTAAGTCTAGTACACCTACTATCTGTCACTATAGGCTCGCCTATAGTCTGCTAGCACTCTAGGGGGTATCTAAAGGTGCTGATTTTGATTCTATCGTTTATTTTCGAGTTTTTAGGGTAGTAGGGGGCGTGGACTTAATTATATATATAGTTATAGTAAGTGTAATCTTACTTCCCTTTATTAATAAAGTACTAGAGAATCTTGTTAATAATATTTATATTGTATATCTTAATAATATCCTTATTTACTTTATAAATAAAGAAGAGTATATATAGTATATTTACTACGTCCTTAAACGTCTCTAATAATACAACCTTTACGCTAACCTCTTAAAGTACAAGTTTAATATAAAGTAAGTAGGTTTCCTAGGATACGTTATTAACCTGTAAGGAGTTTGTATTAAACCTAAGCGTGTCTCTATAATCTAAGAATAGCTTATTCCTATAACTATAAAGGACATTTGTGTCTTCTTAAGGTTTACTAGGTTCTATAGGCGCTTTATTAAGAATTATTTAAAGATTACTATACTACTAACAAATCTCTTTTAAGGTAACGTCGCTAGTACTATTACACTAAGTTCCGAAGCCCTAGAAGCCTTCTATAAGCTACGACTAGTCTTTATAAAGGCCCCTTTTCTACGTTACTATAACCCTAAACTACTTACGCGTATAGAAACAGATGTATCTACCTTTACTATTAGTACTGTCCTTTTATAGCTATAGAAAGGCCGCTAGTACTCTATTACGTTTATTTCTAGAAAGCTAAAAGGGCCGGAGCTACGCTACGATACTTCTAACGCTAAGTTAATAGCTATTGTTAAGGCTTTTAGGTTATAAAGGCCGTACTTAGTATATATATAAAGTTTAGTATTAGTTTTAATAGATTACTTAAACTACTGTTACCTCTCTATAAAGCCGAAGTTGTTATAGTAGTAAGCTAGATAGCTAGAAGAACTTTCTGTCTTTAACTTTAAGATTAAATATAAGAAGAGTAGCTAAAACCTTACTAATAAGTTGTTATAGCGACCTGACTTATAAGATCCTAATAAGTAATTAGAGGCGTAACAAGCTCCTTTAGTAACTTTCCTTAATAAATTCCGGGTAAACGTAGTTACCTTAGAAGCTGTTAGTCTTGCTATAAGGCTTGTTTAAAACAAAGCTTTTATTCCTTTTATTCTTCTAATTCCTTTTGTTCCTTTAATTTCTTTTATTCTTTTTAAAGGTCTAGTAACCTCCTTAACGTACACTATCTTAGTAGAATCACTCTAGCGTAAGAGGCTAGACTTATACTAGCTAGTAGACTAAGGCGATCGTAGGTCTTAGGGACCTTACGCTTCTATTACTAGAGTATTAAGTCGCGAATTAAACACTCTTATACTAGTAGAGAACTCTACTTAGAGTCAGGCTAGTAAGAGTAATAGCTAAGTAACAGTAACGTTAACGTTACTACTATTACTATTAGAAGCCCTTTATAATATGTAGTAAAAGGACGCCTTTATTACTAATAAAGAGTAGAAGAAGTAGTAAGGTAGCTAAGGTACTACCGGGTCCTTATAGACATTTAAGGATAATACGCTACTATAGTATTATAGACGTATATATATACCTAATAATCTAGGCTTATATAAGGAGTTACTAAAGCTTTTTTATAACGTACCTATAGTAAGGTACTAGAGAGTTAGTAAAACAAAGAAAAGGCTTTCCTAATCCTTCTTTTAGCTAAGTCTTAATAAAGACGTCTACTGTTACGTTTTTACCTACACTATCTATTAAAGAATAAAGGCAAGGACTTATCTACTATATAGCGAGTTAGCCTTACTCCTTATTCCTTCTAAACCTTAGTAAGAGATCTTACTTAACTTTATTACGTAGCTACCTTACTCTTATAACGTAGTAGGTAAACTATATAACTTAATACTTGTTATTATAGACTAATTTATAAAATTTTCCTTATATATTCTAATAACTAATCGTCTTACTAGCGATAGACTAGTGTCTCTCTTAATATACTACGTTGTACGACAATTCGGGATTCTAGATAGTATTGTCTTAGACTAAGGCTCTCTCTTTATAAGCAAATTCTAGAGTAGTTTTTACTAGTACCTAGTAACATTATAGCGACTTAGTACCGCCTATTACTTATAAACAGACAGGTAGACAGAACAGTAGAACTAAGCTATTAAGTATTACCTTTAAACCTACTATAGCTTTGTATAAGACGACTAGGTAACTAAGCTAGATCTTACTAAATTTGTATATAACACTTTATAGTACTCTATAATAAATGTAACACTATTGTACGTACTATATAAGTACTAGCTATAGGGTCTTAAGGACATACCCCTAAACCGGTTAAAGCTAGTAGAGGCGCTAGTAGCTAATACGTAAGTAGAGTAGCTATAAAGTAGCTATAAAGAAATTGTTATATTCTTATAGTATTCCTAAAAATAGTATAAGAAATAGTATAACTAGAACTAGAAAAAGATTTTATTTAAAAAAAGAGACTAGGTACTCTTATTAATAAAATACCTAAGGTAACGCTAACCCTTTAGGAAATTTATAGATAAGTATATTAGCCCTTACTAAATTAAAGACGTTATTAGGGACTATAGACTTGCCTATAGACTACGCCTCCCTTTATTAGTACGGCTATATCTTACCTTTCTAATTATAAGCCTAGAACCCTATAGGGCGTAAGAAGGCAAAGTCCTTATAAGCCTAATAGACATCTTAGTCTTAGATAAAGAAACATTTAAAGTAAAAGCTATTCTTAACTATAAAGGCCTATAAAGAAACAGACTCTATCTTATAAAATAAAAAGGGTATAACGATTTAGAAAACTCGTAAGAACTACAACAGAACCTTAACAATAGCCTACTTCTACATAAATACAAATAAACATATTAAGATAATCGTTAGAAAGGCATAATGTTACTAGTGTTATCGTAGTAACGTAGGTTTAACTTCTGTATTTATTATATAAAAACTTAAAAACCTAAGTATCTTAAAAAAACACTAAACTACTCTTTTACTAGTAAACACTCTTTAAAGCTCTACTAACTTTATTATTATATATCTTAGAAAAAGAAAAAAAGAAAAAAATCTAAAGTACGATCTTACTTGTTAAAGACGCTTTAACCCTTATTTGTCTATTATTCGTCCTTATTACCGCCCTTTCTACTATTATTTTCTTTATTATTATCCTTTATAGTATCTACTACTACTTTATCTTTTACTTTCTTACTTCCTTTAGATCTCTATAAATCGTACGCGTACTACCTTTAAGTTAGTAGTGACTTAGTATTAGGGTAAGGGATACTTATAACTTTCTTAAAATAAGACACGTACTTTTTAAAGACAGTAATATAGTCCTACTATACTTGTATCGCCTCTTCTATAAGCTAATTATAACGATCTGCCTTTATGTTTGTAGTCGTAGCGAACTTATTACAAAGCTCTAACTAATAAGTAATTTTTACTAAATAACCTAACTTTTACTTTACGTACTCTTTCTTATCTACTTTATCGCTATAAAGCCTCTTCTCTACTAACATTCTAGTCTAAGACTTTAAATGTTAAAGGCTCTTCTTTACTAAAGTTTAGGCGGCCTAAATTATAGCCTGTTTGTATTAGCTTTAACTTTACTATAAATAATAGACTACCTTACTTTATCCTTTTTTATAATTACCTTTTAAAGTTTAATTCCTCTAGCTTAGAGAGTTAAAACAACCTAGTAACGTTAATAAAGCTACGACGTAAGAGCGTCGCCTTAAGAGGGGTTATACTTATAAAAATACACTCCTTTTTTAGATTTTTATAATAGACGTACTTTACTAACGCGGCTACTATACTATTAGGCCGTTACTCTTTACTAAGAAGGAATACTTATAGTCGTTATCCTTATACTTTAGTAAGGTACCCTATAAGTCTTATAAAGCTATTTAGTTTAAGTATTACTTACAAGCTACTAAACGCTTTGTTAGTACTATGTTGTCGTTAATAGTTTAATAGAGGTACGTTAGAAGTTCGTTAAAAGAGTCGTAAGAAAGGGAGGGCGTAGCGGCGTTATATTTATATAAGGTAAAAAGAAGAAAAGAAAGTAATAAACTAGTAAAAACAAGTCTTTATATACCCCTTAGCGCTATAAGGGACAGACTAAGTAAAGAGAGATAAAGGAAGTGTTTTTCTATATTTACTTAAAAAATATAATTATAAGTAATACGGTTTGATCCTTACGGCTACTTACTGTTAGTATACTATTAACCTTCTAGTAAAGGGTAACAAAGGATTTCTAAAAGCGGTAAAAGGGTAAGAAATACTAGTGCGCCTAGGTAATATAGTTTACATTACGTATTAAGGGTCTTATAACTATCTAGCGACTTACTAGTACTTTGTTATAACGTATCTTTACTAAAAGTAAATGTAAGAGGTATACTAGGTAGAGATCTAAAAGTATAATATGTAATAGAAATCTCGTGGTTTAGCTACACGCCTCTACTATACTATAAAGTCGCTACTATTCTCCTTTTCCTAATACTACTAGTTATATAGTTATATAGTTATATATTTACTTACTAATTTATTCTTGTGTATTTATTCTTGTTTCTAGGGAGGCATTAGCCTGCCCTAGCCTCCTTACGATCTAACGGCTACCTGTAAGCTTCTAAGGACAGAAGCTAGAAAAGAAGGATGTTATATTAGGTATACTAACACGTAAAATTATAATAGCTTAGAAATTAAGTACAGGGTAACTACGTACTACGACTAAGGTAATAGTAGGCATTAAAGAGCATAAGAATAGAGGGTAGAGAGGGAAAAGAAAGGGGGTTTAGAGATTAGTCTATAGTTAAAGTAGTGATATACCTTTAAATATACTACGACTGTCTATTGACTCTTGCCTCTTCTACTCTATAGAAATACACCTAACAGTAGCTCTTACTATACATACTCTAGAGAGAGCTAATATAGTAGTAATATAACAAACAAGACTTAACGATTAACTATACATAAGTTATAGTAACGCTTTAGTATACTTATTAAGGTAACCTAAGGTATAAGGGATCTAACTACTATACTTAGCTAATTAAGGTTATTACTTAAGTAAGGGATTACTAGAAGAGAGCTATAAAGGTACTAGGATAGAGCTAGACCCTAATAGACTAAGAACTAGTAACGATTAAGGCCGAGAGGCTCTACTTCTTTTTAAAGCCGCTAGACATATTTTATAAGGTTAATAAGGTAATTAACTTACTTACCTCTTAGCTTATACGTATTAT